GTGTGCTTCCCCAAAAGGCTCTCTGTTAAATTTTGCTTTGACCGGGTCTTTTAATTTCCCCTTTCATTTAAAGATGAGAGACATTGTTCCTTTGAAAATTATGGATTTTAATATTTCTTATATTTTCACTTTCCACTGGAATCTTACAGCTATTTTTATGCATTTCTTCTAAATGATAATAGTTAAAATGAAATATCTTCCCATTCTAGGGTAGAAGAAAGAAAAAATTCATTAAAAGACCCATAAGCTCAGAAAAATTGGACTGGATGAGGGAAGAAAGTACACTTTGAGCTATCCACATGGATATATACTTCTTATATATATATATTTCTTATATTTATCCCTATTTATGGAAATGTAAGAAATCTATTATAAAATATAGAGTTGGAATAAATTAACATAATGAAGAAATAAGCATGGGTATTTTTTTAATGCAAACACATTTAAATAAGAAATTTTTATATATGCATTCAACAAAGAGTGGTTGAATATCAACAATGTAAGTCCCCCTTACTAATTTCTCCAGCTAAAGTTTCTTAATTCTTGTTTTTGTTGATTCTCCAAGGAGTCTAGGAACATTATTAATCTTCAACAATTAATTTGATTTAATGCACTTAAAAGTTATAGGCAGATCCCAGTTTACTAACTGCACCAATGTGCTAAATTTTGCTGTATATTGATTATCATCTCTGGGTTCAATTATCCTTTCCACAACTCTGTTGAGAACCTATCATATGTCAAGTAGAGTTTTCAGTGCTGAGGATACGGGAGTAAAAATTGTGACCTGCAGACTCTGAGCCTGCAGAGCTTAACATTCTAATATGCAAGAATTTAGATATCCAATAACAAATAGACACATCGTATGTGCTGTGAATAAGGAGATAGACGGTATCAGACAGAGCAGCTTTTTAGAGAGAGTCACCAGGGAAGGCCTTTCCAAGGAGGTGACTTTGGAACAAAGACTAATGGGCAAAGCAGAGGGTGGTAGGAGATGAGCACGTCCTTGCAGGTCACGGCAAGGACTAGGGCCTCGAGTCTGAGGGAGAACGGTAGGCTTGGCTCACCAATGTAGCATGATATAGTTTGCATTTTACAAAGACCTCTCTGGCTACACGGAGAATTGACTCTTGCATAGGGTTGCCAGATAAAACACAGGATGCTTAGTCAAATTAGAATTTCAGATCAATAACAAATAATTTTCATATAAGTATGTCCCAACTAATCCATGGAAAATACTTATACTCAAAACAATTTATTGCGAGGCCAGAACACAGGGAAATAAAATGCAGGAATCACTAACCAACCTGAGAATAATTCTTGCATGGGTCACTGTCCTCCTGTTTTCCCACTCCATCTCCTCCCACCCTCCAAGTAAACGCCCCTGACTTGCTGCTCATGGGTATCCAGTGGGAGGTAAAGCTGGGGGCCTTTGGCCAGTGACTCCTTTTCCCATCTCTCTCTTTGACATGCCCCTGCCTACTTCATCTCTCCAATTTCTACATAGGCTTCTGACCAGTGGCTTTGCCCTCCCTTCATAATGTGCTAAAATCTCAGAAAGAAAGAGAAAGAGAGAGAGAGGGGAAGGGCTAGGCTGCCAGGCATCGTTTCTAAGCACCAGGGCTAACATGCCAAGTGTGCCTGGGTACACTTGTCAGCTCTTGATTCTCCTCCCATCATTATTAACTATGAGAACAAGATGATCCACTACCCAATAGCAATAGGCATTGTTTAAAAAGATATTATAAATAATTGCCGACAATGAGAGGGTCATTCTGTAGATCCTGAGTAGAAAACAGAGAGCTAAGAGAAAGTTTTCAATGAGAAATGAAAGTGACATTTTCTGTTTCTTAGCACTTAGGAAAACCAGAAATTATACACAGTTGAAGAACTAAAGCTGGTTTCCTAGGGTAACGTATTAGTATGCTCAGGCTGCCATAATGAAACACCACAGATGGAGTGACCTAAACGCCAAAAATTTATTGTCTCATAGTTCTGGAGGTTGAAGTCCAAGGTCAAGGTGTTGGCAGGTTTGTTTTTTTTCTGAGACCTCTCACTTTGCTTTGCCGATGGCTCCCTGTGTCTTACCTGGTCTTTCTTCTGTGTGTGCACATCCCTGGTGGCCCTTTGTGTGCCCATATTTCCTCATCTTATGAAGACACCAGCCAGAGTGGATTAAGGTCCATTCTAATGGGCTCATCTTAACGTAATTACCTCTATAAAAGGTCCTTTCTCCAAAAACACAGGAGTCACATTCTGAGGTACTGGAGGTTAGGGCTTCAACGTACGAGTATTGAGGGACACAATTCAGCCCATGACAAATGAGGATACACTTGTAATGACAGTTGAAGTTGCCCACAGCTGAGGGACTGAAGGACCAAACTGGGTCCCCAGAACAGCAGATAGGAGGGCTTTCCACTGGTGTCAGGATGAGACACAAATAAATGGAACCCAGGGTCACATAGTCACTTGGGCCTGGCATCCTTCCAATCTCAAATGTGAAACATTAGTTTTCTCATTGGATGAGTGTTCATCTGTTCTTTTCTCATGGGGAGTGTAAACTCAACCATAAAGAATATAAAAGGATTGTAAAAGCATGCATAACACATCATTAGAAATTTAATTCTAAATACCCCCAGATCTGTAAAGTTTGATAATCATCCCCATAGACTATGTTAAGGTTTAAAGTATTTTTGGTTTTTTGTTTGTTTGTTCATTTTTTGGCCTTTGGGTGTTTTGGGTTTTTTTTGACATGGCAAGGGGCATAATAAGGCTTTTAATGATGAGAGAGTAATATATGCAAAAGAAAAATTTGGAAATCACTGCCCAGAGTAGCGCTTTTAAATTTTTTCAGAAATGATTAATCTGGCATCAGAACACAGTGAACCCCTGACTGGGAGAGGAGTATCTTAGTCACCTTGGGCTGCCATAGCAAAATCCCATGGACTCGCTGGCCTCAATGGCAGAAATTTATTTCCAACAATTCTGGAGGCTGCAAGCTCGAGACCAAGGTGCCAGCCTGGTCAGGTTCTGGTGAGGGCCTTCTCTGGGGTTGACTTCTCGCTGGACCTTCACATGTGGAGAGGGAGCAAGCTCTAGTCTCTTCCTCTTCTTATAAGGACACTAATCACATCGTGGAAGCCCTACCTTCATGACCTCATCCAAACCTAATCCACTGGTCTCACCTCCAAATACCGTCACATTGGGGATTAGGACTTCAACATATGAACATTGTGGGGGGACACAAACATTCAGTCCATAGCAAGAAGAGAAACAGGGGTAGTTGTGCTTTATAAAAAATATACATTTGAACTTTATACTCTGTTCTATAACATACTTAAAATTTTTGTGTGTGTGATAGAAAAGCTATGGTACTTTTGTCCTCCAAGTCCACAAGAAAGTTCATGTTCCAGTAAGCCATATCATGTTTGCCTTGTAACTTTGCCTTACCCCTGGCATCCTAGTCTTAGATACCTGGTTATTTGTGCCCCAGTTTGAGAATCGTGACCTCAGAGGCTTAACTGCCCATGGATAGCAGGCAGTGGACCCTTCAGACAAAAAGTCTGACTCATACTGTCATTAAGCTTTAGACACAGGATCTGGTACAGGCATCCTATGAGTAAATGAAGGTCTAGATTCTAGCGCAGACAAAGGCAGAGTTTCTCCTTTCCCATCCCAAGGAAGCCCCTCTACAAACCTCCCTGGCTATTCCAGAAGCTCTCACCATTTCTTTGGTAGTTAATGTATTGGTTATCTATTGCTACAGTTATGCTGCATAACAAACAACCACAAAACCTCAGTGGTATAAAATAATAAACATTTCACTAGTGACCTGATGAGTTGGCTGGATAGTTCTACTGATCTTGGCTGGCCTTGGCTAAGCAGTTCTTGTCCTGGCTGGGGGGTCACTCCTATGTCTGGCCATTGACTGGCTTTTGATTCACATGGGATGGTCTTGGCTGGGATGACTGGCTTTGCTGCACATGCTCTCTCATGCTCCAGCAAGCTAGGCTGGGCTTGCTCTCATGGTGCAGGGAAGAGAGTAGAGGCATGGAATGCCTCATAAGGCTTGGTTCAGAGGTGAGGCCACATTCTATTAGCCAATATCTGGGCAAACCAGATAGAAGGAGCAGGAAAATAGACTACTTGTGGTGATGGGAGAAGTAGCAAAGTCACATTGGAAAGGGCACAGATTCAGAGAGGGTTAGAGGATTGGGTTATTTTCTCAATCAATTTACCACAGGTAGGCATTCTGAGTCATCTGTTTTCAGTAAGCAAAACTCTATGTTCATATTGCCTTTTTCCCCACTGCTTGCTTCTGGAGGCCAGGTAATCTAACCGGAACCCAGGATAAAGTATTGTGGGAAGATTTTAGCCGTCTTTGGACATGAGTTTCAGCTGCTCATACATACTCACCGTTGGGGGTGGGAGGAGTGCTGATCTCCCCCAGTAATGACTTGCCTGAAGTCTGGTTGGCTGACTGATGATGAGATTGCTTTGTTTGATGGGGCCAAATCCTTGAGAAAAGTGAGATAGAGATTTGTGAGAAATGTATTGCAGTTGTGACAATTTGACATCTGCTTAAGCAAAGAGTTCAATCATACAGAGAAAGAAAAGACTGTCAAAAATGTGGAGGAGAAAAATTATGTAAGCCAGTGATGCTTAGATGTACAGAGGAAAAATAAGTCATGTTTTTGAAGTTAGTTCGAGAAACTTTGGTAATTATGAGCCAGATTTATAGCCCCTAAAATGTAGGGTTTTTTTTTCCTGGAATCACATCACACAGTTAAAAGGGAATATATGAAAGAAGCTTTTCTCTTCATTTCTAAAGTATATGTTGTTACATTACTCAGATATTTATTCCTCTTTATCTACAACTCAAGATGAATATTGGGGACAGGAGAAAAGGAAATATAGTTTTAAAATAGCCATGCAGAGTACATTTTAGAACCTAGAATGAAGTGACACAGAGAACTATGGAGATTGGACACAACATTCCAGATGTCAGGCACTGTGACAGGCACAGTACGTCATTTAATCTCCACCATAACATTGTGGGACAGGCATCAACAGGCCCTGATTTTACAGGTGAGGAAACAGTGGCTCAGAGAGGACAAGTGGCTTGTCCACATTCTCACAACTGTGAGAGCAAAAGTCAAGAATTGATGCCCAATCTTCTGTTGTCCATTTTTTTTTCTGGCTGTGGTTGTCCCACTGTAACTAACCACTATCATCTTGGGTAACTGTTCACACATCTTTGTAATTTGAAAATTTAGAAAAATTATTAAGTTTGGTTTTCCCCCCCTTTGTTTTGTTTTGTTCCCTCTCGAAGGTGGAGAAAGGAGGCCTATCTAATGCCACATGAATGCCTCACCCTTTCTTCATGGTCTTGCTCTGGAATGATCTTTGTTAAACTGCAGACAGAAAGACCAGTCCTCAGGGGCGCAAGCCAGCAGGAGCGACAAACACAAAGGATGCAACGACTCCAAAGTCTGCAAATTTGAGGAAGAACTTTGGTCCAGGTCAGGTTTAGGAGAGAGAAGTGACAACTGCCCGTACCAGATATGTGCCCTGGGCGCTGCTGCCCGGTGCCAGCATCCACGAGGAGGTATTTATAGTTCTGAAGAACAGCAGGACTCATTCATTCATCCCACGTGCCCTACCAGACGGTCAGGGTAAACAACTTTCACATGCATTTCCTGTTAGCTAAAAAAAAATTCCATAGTGGTCCTAGTCCAATGGTATTTGAAAATTCCCTTTTTGTGTTTCCTCTAAAAGTACTTTCTTTTGCAAGAGATTTCCTGGACATGATATCATCCCAACTATTTCTTGACCAATCTTAACACTGATCACTTCAAATCTAGACAGTTTACTCAACTTTACAAGGTAGTTAGGGCCACTCGGGGAATGTCCAAGACAGTGATGACAGGAACACTTCCATTCCTCGGCCAGATCCTACAGTTGGAGTTACATGCAACCCGTCTGCCTGCTGAACGTTTACTACATAGCTCAGAGACAGAGCTAAGTGGTTGTGGAGTCGTGAGGAACATTTATAAAGCAGCTAAGAAAATTGTGAAGGGAAACATGAAATAACTTGACGCCCTAGTTCTTACTGAGTGCTTAAGAGCAAACTGTTCAGAATTGTTGCAAAAGTTAACACCTCCAAAATTGTCACTCAGTTCCCTGAATAGAGTTCAGAGTTCAGTACTTCCCACTTCCCTGTCTCAGCTTCTCTCAATGATTCGCAACCAGAGGAAGCAACACCCCCTCAACCTCTGCTCCCAAGCTCCCCAGGGTAGGGTGTAGGCAGAGAAAAAGTTAAATCCAGCTTCACACAGATTTGCTCTTCTATAAGAGTCTTGCCTCAAAGATAAGAGAACACGAGAGAGAAATGTTGGCATCTTGTTGATGAATCACTTGAGACAATGCTAAGTCATTCTTAGAAAAGGATAAGGAAATAGGCATTTGATTTTGAAGTTAGAGACAGTTCCAGAACTTATTATGGAAATGACATTTGCCATAGATAAAGTCTAGTTGAGAAAGACAAGTCTCCTAGCATGAGAATCTTTCCAGTCTCATGAAATTTGGCAGCTTCCAACAAAAGAACAGGAGATAGAGACCAGCACCTCTGGCCAGAGTGGCTAGTTATCAATATATGCATCTCAGGTTTGAGAATCCTGGCTTTGTTCAAAGGAAATCCCTGTGGTCCCGGCCACTCGCTGGATTCAAGACCCCTTGGCCGCCCATGAAGGTGCCACTCATAACCCCAATATCATGAGGGTGGGAGAACAAACCAAGTCATCCAGAGCTTGGATGGTCGGCCTGCTTCAACCTGGTAAACCTGGGAGTCTGCCCTCTCCTGACCAAACCTAGACAACACAGGGCAAGATTACAAATGGCATTGACGTTTCTCAGATACAGAGAAGGTGGGAAAGGAAAAAAATGAGTGAGTCCTTGGAAATTAACTGGTTCTAGCCCCATAGCTGCCAAGTGCCAGTTACTGTGAAAATCAGAAGGATCTCACCTGCCTTCTGGATGTGAGGTGGATTTGGAGTCAGCAGGCATCTCTTCATTGATTGAAAGGGTTGACCTGGCTCACAGAAGGCTCTTTTCTTCTCAGATCATCATTCTCTCTTCTTTAAACCTTTGTTTCCCAGGGATACAAGTTGTTTCACTAAACCTCCCAGGATATGAGACTATTCTTTCCCTTCCCTTCTCCCCACTCCCACTTCCTACAGAAAAGGCATCAGCATCAACCAGGGCCTTTGAGCCACATTTCAACTCGAGATGCCTCTGATGTATTTTTACAATAAAGATGAGTGAGTGGGCACAGTCTCCTTTGGAATTTGAACGGAACTCCTTTGCCCAGGGGTGATGACTTGAGTGTCAATTCCCACCTTTGTTCTAAATTTTCTCCTTAAGAAGGAACCCAGAAAAGCCATCCTTAGTCATCAGCAATCAAATGTATAAAAATCATGAACCTCATCTGAATCATCTTTCTGGTAAGGACAGAAACAACCAGAAGTCAGTCTGAGGCAGCTGTTGAAGAATCAACCCTCACCTTCAAGTGAGCTGCTTGTTTTAATTAGCAACAGAGCAGAGAAGCATTCACGATCCACCAGAAAAAAGAAAAGAAAAAAATAACAATATAGCTATTGGGGAAAAAAGAAAAAATGAACAAGCTTATAAAAACATACATATAATTCATATTTTTAAAACACCACATTTTTATAAAGTTCAGTTCAGCAAAGATTTTTTTGGAATGTTTACTGTATGCTAGACAATCTGCTAAGTTCACAAGATAGAAAGATGAGTAAGACTAAATCTCTCTCCTAGAAAAACTATGCTAAGCACGTGGTAGACATTCAATAAATGTCAATTCTCTTCTTTCTGCTAGTGAGAAAAATTCTGCATGTAATGAATATTTATTGTGATTGCTAAGGGGTTTTTTGTTTTTTTTTTTAAATATACTGTGTCAAAGAAGGCTAGCTAGCCTCTCAAATACACTCTCACCTTCTTTGCCTGGGCACATCAACGAAATACATTTCCCAGCCTCCTTTGCAAATAAATGTGACCATGTGATTAAGTTCCAGCCAATGGCATGTGATCAGATGTAATGAATTGCTTCCAGGCTGAGGATTTTTCATAAGTGGCTGTACCTTCTCCCTCATTTTGGCCTCCCACAGCATGTAAAATAGGTTGGTCTTTATCCTGGGAACAATGGTGGGAAGAATTTTTGAACAAGGAGATGGACATGATCATATTTGCTACAAGTAAAATCCTTCTGGTAGCTGGTAGGAGATGTATTGCAGGACAAGATGATAGAGCAAGGAGAGCAATTCACAGCCTATTGCAGGAATTCAGATGAAAAATGATTAGGGCCTGAATTAAATAGTGTTTCTGGGTGTGAAGAAGGGAGAGCTAATTAAATATTACATCTTCAGTACTCAATTGCTAAAAGTGATTTGAAGGCCGATGGGGACAGGAAATGTGATAACTTTTTCTTGATCCCATAACTCACTGGACACAATCAGGAAGAGAGGCTCCACCACTTTTTCCATTTTGTGCTCTTTCTCCAGCTCCTCCTCCTCCCAATCCCTGATAATATCTATTTTTCAAACATCAGGATACATGCTGGAGTAAACATACATGGAATACAATGTTAGTGAAAAGTCCAAATTGTATGGTTGCACTCCACACCCAAACTATAGTCAAATACCACCATAAATTATTTATTAAAAAAAAAAGCTTCAGTCACCAACTTTATGGTTAGCCAATGGAAGGAATTTGGCTGGAGAAAAATACTAATAAACTGAACGCATGCAAAAGGAACACTTAGAAGAGTGTTTTAGACTAGGATTGGTTAGACCAGAATGCAGGAAAGAAAACACTGAGGAAGAAAACTATTTTAGCACAGAATTTATAACCATTTTTGTAATAAAAGGAAAATATGGAATTTTCAATAAAAAATTGCAAAAGGCTTAGGCATTGGGTTAGGTACCAGGAAACTGCAAAAGGGTTGGTGGCCTAAATCATCGGCAGGGTATTGTAGAGACACATTTACATCCTTGGTCTTAATCAGGCAACTTAAATCTTTCAAATAATCCACCATAGCAAAGCGTGCTACCACCATCATTCTGAACCTCAGAATTTGAAATGATATCTCTTGACCTTGATTTTATAGAAATCTTTTTCCTTAATTAAGCTGGGGAAGGTAGAGCTTTGCAAAAGTTCAGAAATAACTTGTTTCCAATTAGTCAGCTTCAGTGTTTTTCCTTTGACCTCACTTTCAGCTATAAGCCTATGGTATCCCTTTAGCTGTATGTGAATATTCCTAGCACTTAGTATTTGATTGATTTACAAATCCTAAATTAGCTATCCAAACTTTTAGGAAAAACTACAAGCCCACCTTTTTAATAAAATTGATTTGGGAAAAAAGCAAACCATTTTGGCAGCCTGGGAGACTATAGTTTTGACTATAAGGAAAGGTAACTTTTTAAAAAATACTTTTCTGTCTCATAGTGTTCTTAGTAGACTGAAAAATGGTTCATTCTTTGAAGATAAAAAGAGTCAGATTAAGAAGGGAAACATCTGCCAATAGAAACAGCAATGAGAATTAGTTATGCGTCCTGGAAAAATAAGATTTAAACCAGCTATGTTGATATTACTTAGTGAGATTGGACAACAAAATTGGTAACAATATTTCTTATTCAACTATTTTATGAAAATCCTATGAAAATAATTGGAAATAGAAATATTAAATTGCTTCAGCAGAGAGAATGTGTATTCCTTCATATCTACTCTCAACATTTTGCAAGTCTATAGTAAGAGCTTGGAAGAAAAATACCAAAAAAAAAAAAAAAACAAACTTCAATATGTGAAACAGATATGGAAGTTAACTGTGAAGCAAGGTTTTATATAGCAAACTTTTCCCCACTGACTTTCTTCTTAAAATGGAGTGAATATATTATATTGCTTCAAAACAAAAATGACTTCCAGAAGGAAATAAAAATTTAACCCAAGAATGCACACGTTCTCGGCAGCATATATTTTAAGTGAATCAAATTGGCTATGTTACTCATATTAACATAAAAAATACATATGCCAAAAGTGAAACTTACAGAAACATGGAGTCATTGTGTGAAGAGATAATGCATTAAAATGTGGCATTTCCATGCATCCGAGGTTTAATAATATAGTAATAATTCCTATGGATTCAAGGCTGTCCCTATTCAAGTTTCTCTTTTATGGCTTATTTATAGCTTACTGCCACTTACTAATCCCTGTCAATTCAGTTTGCATTGAATTTAGTGGTCAGTGATTAGTAAATTATTTGGGACCAATTATTAGCACTAGGGGAATAAACCACTGTGCCATGCTGGTTATTTATACCATCGCTGCTTAAGTTGTGGTCTGTAAACCTTTTATTATGTCTTAGTACAAAAGCTAAGACTAGGTGTCAAGAAACTTTTATCCAAATTCGATATTGCTATGATATCTAAACATGTGCTTGAAGTAGGAGTGTCTTGTGCAACCACAAATATACTAAAATAATCAGTCAAAGATAGATTGGAAAAATTTTTTTTAAAAGTCTTGTACCACAAATAG